TCTCTCCTATTGCTTTCTTGAACTCACTAGATATCATCATGGAAGCCCTAATTGCATATTCCCGTGTTAAGTTACACAGTTGTAGTCACACAGATATGCAGTTTTCTTTGGACTGAAGCCACGTCCCCACCCCCATTGCTGGTTTTCATGGACTAGAAAGCACTAAGGAGGCTGATCATCTTTCAGAAGATGACACTTTTTCTTTAACTCTCCTACTAGCAGCTTAGGATCAACAGAATTATTTTGGGGAACACCGTTCAGCAGTTTGGCTGCAAATGGGAGGATGCTATCAAGCTATTTATTCCCAAATCCAGCCTTTATTTCAGCAAATACTCTACTGGGATATGCCTCGTGAAGCGGTCATTAAAGATTATTATTTTGTTCTGTGTACAAAAGAGTCTTTGGAAAGAGCAAGACAAAAATAGCGTGCAATGCCTTTGGGTGGATTTCAGTTAACCGGGGCCTAAGTCAGAGGGAGGGAGTTTTCTATAGCAACAGCCCAGGCTACCAGCTGCCAAACATAGTACAGAGATGATCGAAGCCACGCGCTACTTGGGAACAGGCTGCCTTTAGGGCATGTGCATGTTCACCTCCTAACCGACAGCACAGATGTACGAATGTTGAATATTGGATGGGTTTAAAGATCTTCACTCCAGGTTATGTCAAAGTATCCACACAATGCTAGGGATATAGCCAAACTTCAGTTAGCCAGGCATTTGAGTTTCCATAGTTGCACTGAAACTTCAGCAGATAATAGCTGTTATTTTCAACATTGCTGCCCCCAAGATTTATACATAGTGGTTTGTAGCTGAAAAACTACGGCTGTTCTTTATTAGGTCCCAATTCAACACAGTAACAAACGCATCCTTCAAGCCATCTCTGCTTGGCAAAGCCAAGGAATATTCTTATTTCTAAGCGTGTGCCTAAGGGGTTTTTTTAATTTCAAAACTGAATTCACTAGGATATAATCAGGTACTGAAATTTATGTCTAAGCACTTTTAGAGCCTGCCATGTGCTCAAGTGCTTTAGTAAATCAGGACTTCTGCGATTTAATTGCACTAAGTGGATGATAACAAAAGACAACAACAGGAATAAATCATCTAACTGTGTTAAAGATCATGTGATTGACTCCAGACTTCAGCCATCCCAAGCCTTCAGAAGGGTCAGACGCTATACCCTTGTTCACACAGAGCGATGCCTGCCTCCATAAATAGTGTCATCAAAGTGAAAGGGGCTGCCTCTGAAGTAACCTACTGAGTACGAACATGTGTGCTGGAGCCTGGCCCATGCTGTAAAGTACAAAAGAGAGGTGAGAGAAGGAGAATTAGATTTTAAACAGATACTTGCCACTGTTGAACGGACAAAGGAGATTTATTTGTTAACACTTAATTTAGGCCATGTCAAAATGCCACATTTGTGTGTGTACGAATAAAAACTAGCAAGAACACCATAATGTAGAGGGAAGAGCTTACTTCAGAAGCAGTTTAGTAACTTATCACACCTGCTGTATCTCGTGATAATTACAGTGAAACAACATAGGAACCACAGCAGTACTGAGATGCAGCACAGACCAATGAGAGCAAACATGCAACAGATTAAGGAAACAGAAGCAGAGCTAGTAAAATTGTAAACCTGCTTAAGGAACACACTGTTGCTGTTATGAAAGCAGGAGCAAGTTCGGCACCCAGTTTTGTGCAGAGTATTGAGAGGATGATAGCATGGAGGGGAATCCTTTGGTAGCAGTTCAACTGCTCGGCTTGCCTCTTCTGCACAGCCACTAACACAATCCATAGACGAGATATAAATGTCGTGTGGTAAAACCAGCAGACACTCTTCTAACTGCCTCGCTTGTCTTCAGCTCTCTGATCTATCACAGAGCAGTGAACATAACCCTAAACTCCATGGCCTATGGTCTCCCCCCCTGCCATGTAGGAGGACCACTGGGGCTGATCCCCAAGGGGACTGAAGCACCCAGCTGCTGTAGTGGTGTTCACAAGCGTCATTTATGCCATTCAAAGTGCTGAAGGACAGAGTAAGGATAAAGTGTGAACAGCCTCTCTAGCAGGAACAGCTGTGCTACAGCGTACAGCCCAATGCTTCCATGTAAAGTGAAATCTGTGGCAGTTTACCTTAAACCATAAACTCTGGCGTTTTAGGAGTAAGAGTCCCTGCAGCGGGCCCTGTACCTTTCATCAGTGGAGTGAGGCAGACAGCTGGAGATAGTAATTGCTTCAGCCATTGCCGCTGCTGGATGTGTCTCAACCCCAGACAATCATTTTACAAGATCTGTAACTCTGTTTGGGAGGAGGGAGTTTCCAAAGGCCTGGAACAGCCGGCACACTGAATGGGAAAAGGATGAAGTGGAAAGCATTTGAAGTCACTTGTCTTTCTTGGAATAGAGACACTTATTTGCAATCCTGAATTTCATGCCGTGTGAGACTATCAGTATGCATGCATTTAAACGAATGACTGCTTTTTTTTTTCCTATGGAGCTGAGCTGCAGTCCTTTAATCCTTACTCTAGCAAATAAAACTTTCTTCATATGAGCAGTGACTGTAGAGTCTGGCTCACAGTTTTAGTGCCTTGGCCATTACAGTCACCTGGTTTAAATATAAGCATAGAAATTTGGAGTGAATTAAACAAATGGTAGCTAAGAAAGCCCCTACATGAACAAAGAAGAACTGCAGAAATGTATTGAGGACACCTGGAAAAGCATGTCTCCTATTTGCAAGAAATATATAAGCAATGTTCCAGGGAGACAAGTCTGTAATAAAAACTAATGGCGAACAAACAATACTGCACTGAGTAGTTCAAGAGGAATCCTTTTATACTTTTTTTTTTGAGGTATATGCTTCCCAAGCATTTTGATTGATTGAAACAATTCCTTTACGTATTTACGTTGCTAATCAAATCATGTGAATGATGATAGGCTTTCCAGTCAGGTGCATTGTAGATTCAACATACCAAGGGGGACCCAGCTCTGTGCACGATTACGCAAGTGGCAAAGTTCCCATTAATACAGAGAAATATAAAGGAAAAGCAGCAGGTCAAATTTGATTCTACTGTTTACAACTATTTAAGAAAAAATACATTATCCAGTTAAAGTCACTAAGCCTTATCTCAAGTGTTAAAGTTAGATGGCCAAGCTTACTCATGCAACTAGTTCCGCTAATGATATGAGTAAGGGTGTGCAGGACTACTTCTGCAAGTAATAACTTCCCCAGTGTATTCGCCATCCTACACACTCCATCACACACTTGAGAGGTACAAGAGAACATGTCTACCTTTGACTGAGACGAGGACTCTGTGGCAATTCCAAATAGGTCGATTTGAGAGAAACACTTAAGAAAGGTGGGCCTGTAGGTATGGAAATATAGTTTGTAGATTCTCCCGTTGACTAGGAAGAGAAGGAGGTGAGACCTGATGGCCCAGAGACAGGCCAAAAAGAGGATGTTTATGAAAAGCTATGGAAATATTTCATTGTTACTGTCCAAAAATATGGACAGAGCTTTGTTTCCACATGAAACACAAATTCTCCTAAAGCCCACATGCCAGGGAGGAATATTTTCAAAGTCTGAGCCATCACACAGAATGATATCACATTGCTTATACAATCACTTTAAAACTGGTGGTACACAAAGCTATAAATAGTAATAACAATCTAAAGATGAAGTGTGTAGACACAATTAACGGTTAATTTATTCTAAATTGCATTTACCACATCATTAAGTAAAACTTTTGTCAATATGGCAGTTATTTGTGAAATAATCTTTCAAACAAATTGCATTCAATTTGTGCTTCTAATCAGCCAGTTACATAATGCAACGTGAAGAGGTCAGCTGGAACTATATCATATATGTACTATATCATCAGAACAGAGATTAGTCACAATTAGGTACCTAATCCATGTTATCTCTTTATGTTACCGCTACTGCTATTCTTTTAAATGCTAAAGGACAACGAAATGTATACAGGAAAGCTTCCTTAGCTTTCTCTGGGGACAAATTATTGTAATATTTGCTCGTGCTCAAAGAGTCAAAGGATTTGCACTTTGCGTTATCCATTTGTTTAAAGGGAGGTTGTTTGCGATCTAAATATAAACTTCAGCGGTTGCATTCTCTATTAATTGACTCATACTTGAGTCCCTTTATGTGATAAACATGCACAGCTAATAATCAATGATATGGCAACTGTGTGTACAGAACAAATAAGAAAAGAAAGGCATATTCTCTGTCTGTACTTACATATGCCAAGCGGAATACAAAGAGCAAATGTGTGCTTTAAAGCTGGAGTCTTTAAAGGTAATTTGTATTAATTTTTGACACACTGCTATTACACAATAAAATAACCTTTCCTCTTGTTACTAAAATGCCCTTGCCACCGTACCTATTTAGTCCAGCATATATACTTATTACAAACATTTGTTCTCAATCCTAGAATTCACTTTCTCAAAGCTTGGGATTTATGGAAGATGGAAATTACTTCCCTTTTTATTTTCTTAACTTGGGGGGGTGGGGGGTGTCCCTTCTGCATAAACCCTTGTCATTCTTTCCGTTCTCATCATCTGCATCGCCCAGGGGAGTTGGGAAGCTACAAGGTAAGAGATTCTCACTCTTCCTGCTCAGCCTGCACTGAAAGCACAGTTTGGCCCTTACGCCACTCGGTAGCCCCTCCTTTCCAAAATCTCAGAGCACTCAGGATCCTCTCAACAGTGAGAAAAAGCTCCTTATCCCACAAGCAAACCGAAAAAACTCCTGGGGCTTTTCCTGAGTGAAGAAGTAGTGTGTGAGGGGACCAGGGACCCAGCAGGTCAAAAACCTGCACCATATCTTCCAAAGCTTATGGTGCCTTTTGCTATTTTCACCCCAATTCAGTGAAAAAGTCTGACATTTCCTATTTTCAAAGGAATCTTTGGCGAGAGGTATCCCACCTTTCAAGCTCCACCCTGCAATCCCAAACGCCACCCTATTATTTCAAAACACAAAACCACCAGTTTGCACCTCTTTTGCTTTCTCCTCGGCCTCCATACACGAGTCGATATGCAAAGGTTTGGCTTTCTCTTCCGTACGCACGTTTTTCCTAGCTGGGTTTATAACACGACGAGGCTGCAGCGGGCAAACCTGTGCCTCTGCCGGGAACTGCATCTGCACAAGCGGCTCTGCCACGCACCCGATGCCGGGTGGGTGAAGTCTGGGAGGAACCCGCAGCACACACACATCTATCTCAGCTGTTCCTGGTTTACTGGAACAATTCAATGTCATCCTTAAGGAACTACAGTAGCTATAGGATTTATACCGGAATAAAGTATATTAAACATTTGCAGATTTTGAGCGCTACAGGACCTTTACCCGGCCCTCCTGGAGTGGAGCCTACTTCATACCAGAGGAAAACGTCAAGTCCCCGTAACCTCCCATTTTCCCCTGTATTTTCACCACCTACCTTCCTCATTTGAGTGATAACATGCTGAGTCTGAATAGCTCATCAAGACAATTAAGCCGACTCTAGGTACGAGGAGTTCAGCATCCCCCCGCCCGACTCTCCCACCATGAACCTTTCCCCAACAGCTCCCCTCCACCTCAGGTTACCTGAGCCTTTCAGAGGCTGACTACATCTCACTTTTTTAAAAGCCAGCCCTTTCTCTGCTTACAGCCCCCCGGCCCCCGGCAGGGCCTGTTCTTCTCATTTATTTTTCCGAACGGCAGGCTAGCCGTAGGATAGTAGTAGTAGTAGTAGTAGTAGTAGTAGTAGTAGTAGTAGTAG